GGGACTTCTGGCTACTTCTCCATCTCATCCTGCACCAGCCCCTTTTCCTGCAATATTCCAGTTTCCCATACCATAGTTAACCTCCCCTGTGCTCTGCAACTTGCCTATGCAGGATCTTGGTACATACTATTTCCTACTTATTTATTAACAGAGTTATTGAAATGTAATTCATATACCACATAATTCATTCATTTAAAATATAGAATTCTCATAAATATATGTGTGAAGTTGTACATCTATCACCAAAATCAATTTTAGGACATTATTATTACCCCAAAAGCAATCCATAACACTTAGCCATCATCCCCAATTCTCCCATCCTCCCCAGTCCCCTGGCATAATCTATGTTTGTCTCCATAAATTTGCCTATTCTGAACATTTCATATGCATGTAATTTAAAAGGGTTCTTTGTGTATGGCTTCTTTCACTTAACATAAGGTTTTCAAGGTTCATTCATGCAGTTGCATGAAACAGTATCCCATCCTATGGGTATACTACATTTGACTTATCCATTCATCAGTTAATAGACATCAGGATTGTTTTCACTTTAGGGCTGCCATGAACATTCTTGTGCAAGTTTTTGTGCAGAAAAATGTTATTTTTCTTGGGTAAATATCTAGGAGAGAAATTGCTGGATCATATGATAACTCTACATTTAACTATTTAAACAACTTCCATACTGTTTTCCAATGTGGCTGCACCATTTTCATTTCTACATGCTGAAATTTTTTGAAAATTCCTATTTTCCAATTCAAACATGTGATTTCAATCTTATCTTGTTATACCAATCCAATCTCACTAACACCTGTTATTCCAATTTTATAATCATTTTGAATACAGCCATCCTAGTGGATGTAAAGTCATATTTAATTGTGCTTTTCACCCCCAACATCTGGATAACTTCTACTCATTTTTCAAGCTTCAGCTTTAAAATAAATTCCATAGGAAGTTTTGTCTTGACCATCCTACCCCTAGACTGGTCAAGGGCTCAACTCAAAATCTTTCTTTACCCTCTTTACTTGAAGTTCAACTTGGGCAAGGACCATTCCATCTCATCTTTATTTTCCACTCTATCCCCAGAATCTAGCTATTGTGTGAAATACAGATCTACTTGTTAAGAAGTTGTTGAATGAATGACATATAAAATAATGAGGGAAAAAAGTGTACATGTTACAGGGTGCAGCCAAGAGGGGGGACCCCAAATGGGAATTTAAAATGGGGTCCAGAACTCAAGGTGTCCAGGGGATTCTTGGATGTCCTCACTCCCACTCCCCAGGTGTGGGTTAGGGGAAGGGACAAATGGAGCAAGGCCATTGAGAGCTGTTTTGCATAGCAACAGCCTTGTAGCTAACCTCTAGCGTGGTCATTTAACATATCTATAGCCCTTGGCTGGTCGCTTAGATATGTTAAATAGCTGTGGCCACGCTCTGAGCCAGGGGAATGGAAGTAACTTCCCCACCAAGATGTGACTAGGGGCAGGTCCCCCGAGCTACAGCACCTGTGTGGGAGCTTGGAGAAGATTGGCTCCAGGACATGGGGCCACACCTGCCCAGACTCATGATGGCAGTCCAATAAAGCTGGAAGGGTATGAGTTCTGGCATGTGAAGCCGAGTGTGGGAGGAGTCAGAAATGGGCTGCAGAGGAAGATTGGCCCAGGGAGAGAGGATCACAGCCATTGGAGGAGAACCACGTGGCTGTGGAAGTGCAGAGAAGATCACAGCTATTGAGGGGAGAGAACCACACAGCTTTAGCAGAGTGAAGACTCCCGTGGCCCTGAGAGAAAGAACCACGCAGCCTTGACAGAGTGGAGACTCCCGCAGCCCTGAGAGGGAGGACCACGTGCCTTTGCCTGAGTGGGGACCCCCGCAGCTTTAGGAGATACAGTACTCTGGACTGGGCAAAAGGGGAAGGAAGGAAGGACTGTGTCTGTTTGTGGGTGTTTTAAGGGACTTTAGGATTTTTGATAAGGACATTAGGTCACTACTTTAAGTTTGTATAGCATTAAATAAACATTTCCTTTCCTTTTCACAAATCTCTGGCATTGAGAGACGTCTTTCCTCTGGCGGTGGACATAACGGACCTGGGGGATTTTTTTTTCAATAATAGTATATCATCCCAGGACCACCCCTTGTTTGTTCTGTAACATACATTATCTTAAAATCACCTGTATCAGAACAATTGGCATGATTACTTTTTAAATCAATTTCATTTTCAGCCTTGCCACAGACTAAACTATTGAGAAATATTCTAATAGCTCTGGTAAAGGGAGAAAAAAGGGTTCTATTGTGCAATAAAACCATGATGAATGCTTCTATTTTCCTGATTTTTCCTGAAGGTACCCAACTCTCTGTTTGATAGAAAGAGGAGGAGACTCAGTGATCAAGCAAAATCAAGTGGACTGTATAAAAAGCTTTCCTTCAAGTCAAGCAGTAAATAAAAAAGGACAGGTTTGTGAGACATAAGGAACTGAGGGGGACTGGATTTTTCTGCTTTGTCAATCAACTAGGCTATACCCACTCAAGATTCCAATTCAGTGGGTCTGAGACAAGGCCGTAAAATGTATATTTTCAACAAAGCCCCTTATGATCCTGAAGCTAAGTGGTCCATAGGCTTCACTTTGAAAAAAAAAATCATTCTAGTTAATATTCTCATTATTTAACAGAAACAGTTTAATGCAGAGGTTAAAAAAATCAAGCTCTGGCGTCTGACTCAAATTTTAATTTCTGGCTCAATTTATTAACCCTGTGGCTTAGAACAAATAATTTAATCTTTCTAAGCCTGTTTCTTTATCTGTAAGGTGGGAGGGACAATAAAGTACCTATGTTACACAGTTGGCATGAAAATTAAATAGTACATAAAACATAATATCTGGTGTCACAATCACCGACCAGCAGTGACCACGGAACACTGTGGATGGCTCGTCAACATGCGAGAAAAACATACACAGAGACAACCAAGTCCTGTGGGGGAGTAGGAACAAAATGGCCACTCTCTCTGGTGGGGAGAGCACCCTATTCCCCTTCCGGAGAGGCTTTTTATTGGTTTCATTTGCGTAAGAATTCAGGTAAAGCTCATTAAACATTGCCAGGGAGTAAGGATCAAACAATAGATAAGGAAGTCTGAGGGCCTATTCTGAGTCAGGGTCAAAGACCTATAAAACTTTAAGGAACAAACTTCTTCCTTGGACCCTTATCATTCAACTGAGAGCACTCTAAACAAAGCAGGTTTCACAGGATTTTACATATTCTTTCTTAGGCCTGATCACCCGGGAATCCACCTTTTTAAGCACAGAGCTGTACCACCCTGTCATTGTTTCAGGCTTAGGTGGAGCAAGGGAACTAAGGCAACCAAGAGATAAGGAGATTTTCTCCCGGATGATGAGGACTCAGGCAATATCAAAGCCGAGGATCGAGGGTCCATCACCCCCTTTTGCTGTAGCCCCCAAAGTCCTTTCTTGGGGGCCTCCCACATGATTGTGCCTGTCTTAGATTGTTCCCCCCTTGGGGAATCTTACCCGTCATTGACTAACCGACCAAGCATTGGGGTTCAGTTATGAATGAAGCAGCAGAAGCAGTGCTTCTGCCAGGGAGATAAGCTTTTGTCTCCTTGATGGCTTATGGTCCAAGGCCACTCCCTCAGCCTTAGCCTTGGCGGGGGTTATAGCTTCTGATACCAGGCAGGGCAGTTCCCAACAATCTGGCACATGGGAAATGCTCCAATATGTTATTTGCCATTGTTATTAGTATTTTATTATTATATTACTTATAAAAAGAGAATGTGCACAACAAAGCTTTTTTTAAGGGCTTGAGTTTTGCTTAGTAAGAAAAATTCCTTCTAAGCATAAGTTAGGAATTTAACAGGTTCATCAATGGCTTTATTATCATTGTTACTTTTGTAGGTAATTTTGCAAGTGGTACATACTTTACTGATATTGCTAAACCTTGTTTATGTCTATTTATGAGTGCCTCCCTCAACTTCGAGGAATAATGAGTTCATTTCTGAAGAATCAGAATTGGGGATCCTTCACTGAATTATAGTTTACCATTTAGTTCACACATGAGCTAATGTACCAATTATAACATATCTTCCTTAAGTGTCATTCATTAAGCAGGAAGTATTGCCTACTCCCAAATCTTATTTTTCTCTGTTAAGTAATATATTGAGCCTGGATGCTCTCCTGATAAAACTTAGTGTCTAAAACAGAAGTTCTAAAAGTTCAGTAAAATTAGGATCTAACAGTTATCTTACAGAATCAAGAATGATCATTTATCCAACTCCTAATTAGTGAGTGTCCAATGAGTGTCAAGAATTTGAATACACAGAGAAGAAAATATGTCCATGATCCTGGGGGGGGGGGCAGTAGGGCAGGAAAAAAAATGAGTAGTTAAATATGTTACCAAGATAGTGTTGCTGGTGATGAGTGCTAAGACTGACATTTAACAGGGTGTTATGATAGAAATGTCTAAGGGGAAGGAGCTATTTTAGGATAATGGACAGGAAAAGACAATCCCAGGAGAAGGCATTTGAGCTCACAGCTGAATGCCAACAACTATCCAGCCATAGGAAATATCAGGGTGCAGCAAGATTTAGGAAAAGGGAACAGTCAGGGAAAAGACCCTAAGCCAGGACCGTGTTGTAAGACCAAGTGGGTCACATTTAGGAGTTAGATTTTGAGTCCAAGTTAATGTGGGTAGGCCCTGAAGAATTAAGCAGGAGGATGTCATGCTCTAATTCATCATAATTTTGAATGTCCCTCCCCTTCCCTCCTCCCCTCTCTCTCCAGTGATACCTAGTGTGAAACCCAATGGCATGATGTTTAACTGCAGTATTTCCTTCCATGTTTGCAGTTATAATTGCTGTCATTTCGTTAATGAATTTGTCTCATGGACATGCCATAAAACTCCCTAATCACTTCCCACTTTGCATTAGAGAACACATAGACATGGTATCCAGGTTTCTCTCCATAGTATTTACAGAGTGTCTCAAATCTGACACTTTAGGTTGCATCAGGTGACATTTGAGGTGCCTACCTGCGAGGGAAAGGAGCAGGAGAAGCTGGCACTGATTGGTGACTCCTCATCTTCAGCAGAGTTCTTTGTCACTGTTGCTGTGTTTGCCTTCCTGTACTCCTTGGCTGCCACTGTCGTCTACATTTTCTTCCAGAACAAGTATCGGGAAAACAACCGAGGTCCGCTCATTGTAAGTAGTTTGCTCTTTTCAATAACTTTTTTCTGTCCTCTTTAATTTCTTTTTCCAATTCTTGAAGGGCTTTGGAGTTACCCAAGCCCTCAGGAAGGGTATTTTAGAAGCAATCACATTCTTTTCCATCCAAATCTTTTGAATGTAAAACTAAAACATGATGTCTGTCATTCTTTTGTGCCCTTGTGTTGGAGAAGTATCACAAGACTTGCTAAAAACTCCTCTGAAATATATGATTGGAAATCTCATGAGATCAAAGGAATAGTAGTGAGGCTTGCTGCAGATTTATTTATAATTCCAGCATTATGGAGGTAGTAAACCAGTTGTCTCATTCTGCTTATTTGAATTGCATTTTTACCTTAACAAATGACAGACTGGGCGTAGAGTCGATTCAGTTGAAAATGATGTTCTTCATCTCTGAATCTCTGTCTCACTGTTTCTCTCTCACTCTTTCCTTACCACCAACACTTTCCTATTTGCTTTTCCCTTATGCAATGGTTCAAGAACTCACATGGGTGAAGCCAATAAAGTCCAGCATATGCAAACAGGGACACACAAGCACTTAGGGGCACACAACAACTCTCAGAGGGGTACCTGAGCATGGATAATTTTTAGGAAATAAAATTTAAATTTCTCAACCTTCACATGTACACTTACCTAAAATTTACCTTCCTGAGAATACCCTACATTAAAAAATATCTTTCTGTCTTCTTTCTTAATTACGTACTCCCATTTTATGAGAGAAAAGTATCTTTCCTTTTTATCCCAAACATAGTACATTGCTAGAGTGCAAAACCTTTGTGGCACTAAAGAAAGGACCATTTAAAATATGAGTGTTGGTGTTGACAAAAGTGAGTGATTCTACTGCCTGGGTAATGCACTGTTTTGCATATAAGTAGGTTTCCTTTTATTTTTCTTTCAATCTACTTGTCAGCTGATAGATCATTGAAATAATTGTTGGTTATCTGAGGCATAAAACTCAGCTGGAATTCAAATAAATCAATGACATTGCTATAACAAAATTTCAGCCATTCTCATCTATTCATTTATGTGAACAAGTGCTCTCAACACATCTATAAAATGGGAATAGAATTTATGCTGAATCATGCCCCATTCTAGATGTAAATAATATTCATCCCCCCAAATATAAACTAATTGAAGTAAAATCAGCCCCATACATTTCTAATAAAAATTTAACTTTTTATTTTATTTTTTTATTTTGTTATTATTGTTCAAGTACAGTTGTCTCCATTTTCCTCCCCCAGCTCCCCCTCCCCCACCCATCCCCACCGTCCATCCTTGATCCTATCCCCCTTTGACTTTGTCTATGTGTCCTTTACACACGTTCCTTGATGACCCTTCCCTTTGTGGATCAAAAAAAACTATCATACATTTACACAGTGGAATACTACGCAGCAGAAAGAAAGAAGGAGTTCCTATCCTTTGTGACAGCATGCATGGATCTGGAGAGCATTATGCTAAGTGAAATAAACCAGGTGATGAAAGACAAATACCATATGATCTCACCTGTAAGTGGAACCTAATCAACAAAACAAAAAATTTAACTTTAAAAAATTTGAAATTATTTATTAAAATTCATAATACATTTATGTTGTTTTGGACAACAGTACATTCATTATATTTGTAATAATCATCCAACCCAAAAGAAAATTTTGATACTTAAAGCATTAGGGTCACTGGTAAATAAAAAGTCATGTAAATTTATATACATATATTTGTTGTAAAGAAATATTGATAAAATATTGATTGATACAATGCCTTCCCATACAAAAAATATTATATCAAGCTATAACTGTGTGAGAAAAGTGTAGTGAAAATATAAGTTCAAAGAGAACAAAAGGAACATGTAAAGTTTTTAATTGTTAAAGAGGAATTTGTTTAATAATTTTCAATAGATGATAGAGAATATCAAATAACTATTCTATTAGATTAATTTTTAAATGAATGCAAAGGGTATATTTTTATTTATTAAAAACTTTATTTTATTGACTTTTTTTGAGAAAGAGGAAGAGGAGGGGAAGAGAGAGAGAGAAACACTGATTTGTTGTTCAACTTATTTATGCATTCATTGGTTAATTCTAGTATGTGCCCTGGGCTCAGACCAGAGCCTTGGTATATCAGGACAACTCTCTGACCCTCTGAGCAATCTGGCCAGGGTGCAATGAGTATATTTTCAAATATTAGTACTTATCATATGGTAGAAATTATACTCTTTGCAATATAGACTTACAATCAAAACAAATTTATATGTCAGCTTTATACAAGGAAGAACACAGTTATGAAGATTTCTTTTAGGTAGCATGTGAGTAAAAGAGTTTTATAGATTTCTAATTTAATCTATGTATTATAGAGATCTTATCCTTAAAATAAAAACATTTGAGGGAGAAATATCTATTTGTAAACTTTGTGATAAAGTTTGAAGGGACTGTAAAAAATCAGATTTGCAGCCATTTAATATATTATCCTGGAAAAGGAAGAGTGATCAGGACTTAAACCTTTTGACAGGGGTCTTTTAAAAATTTTTCCTCTTAAGATGGGACCAATAAATAATCTAAATCCTTTGAAAGTACTTTTAATAGAGTCACCTTTCTTGGGCTCATTCTTCCTGTGCTGGGCAGATGAAAACACAAAACAGATTAATATATAGAGAGACAGATAGATATATAGATACCATAAAGCCACCATGCTTGCATCCATTTCTGGAGACTTATAGACACTCTCACAGAATTCTAAAGTTTACTAGAGAGTAGAACGTGGCTCAGCTAGTTTGCCTATTAAGTAGGAAAAAAATCTATTTTGTTATATAAAACTACATTTTAGTTGTATGAAATAATCTTGTGAAGGTATGCTACTTCTTTTCTGCATAGTCTTCCTCATTAAGGAGGATAAAATGAAATCCTGAATTTTATACTATATTGGGTAGATTTTGTTTTAATTCTTAGTCATAGGAAAGGACAGTCTCCTCAGTGAAACTTAGCAGATAAAAGTGAATTTAAAAATAGCCTGAGTCCTAAGAGTCTCAAAGGCAGAATGAATGTGGAGGACCAGTGATGTCATTGCAGCTGCACAAGGTGAGCCTTATCCATTCTAATCCCACTGTGACAAGGCTGTGATTGGAGGAACAAGGGTGGGCTCTTATATCCACTTTTAATTATGAGTTAGTAGGTTAAAGCAAATCCACAGTGTGAGCAAGATTGGGAAAAGGTGGTTCATACATAAGAATACTCTTAAAAACTAGAAAAGCATTGATTAATATTTTAACAATATGAACCAATCCTATTTATTCACAAAAATGGCTACTGATCATTACTTGGGTGTTTCTGTTCTTGTTATTACCTATTCCTTTTTGTTGTTGCTTTGCTTTTAACAAAGCATCCATTTTTTTTTTATTCTGTAATTCTGAATTCTCTAAGTCAAATAAACTTAGTCTGGAACAACAAATTACAATATGATGCTAACATGAACTAATACAAACAGTTTAAAGAAGTCAGGTTTCCTCATAAGCTAAAAATTAATTTCTTATCTGGCTCTACATGACATTACAGACCATGCACATATAAGATCAATATGTAGAAAAGTGATGAGGATATTCATAGTGTTGATAGAACAACAATAATATTAACTGGTTTTGTCAGTTTCTACTGTGTCAAGCTGGTTTAATACTTACAGCAACTGTAGCTTATAATATTATTCACATTTATGGATGAGGAAAGGGAAGCTCAGAGATGTTACACAACTCTCCTAGGTCACATCCATCACTAATAGTTAGAGGGTAAAAAGTTAGAATCCAGATATCTCCAAATCCAGGGCCCAAATTCATAACCACCATGAAAGGTGATCCAAAATCCTGATAGGCAATGTGCTATGAAGTTAGAGAGGTGGGGGTAGGTGAGATAAACTGATTTATATACCTGGACTGCTCCTATATTCTCACTATGGATACAGAGAAATCAAACCCTAGAACCCCTAGACTCTTCTTCACACTTGATGGTTACAGCAGTATTTTTACTTGCCTACAAAACCCACGTGGAGCTATGGATGATGCTAGGATAACTGGACTTTCCTGCTTGTGTTAAAATTTACTGTGTTGCACAGGGAAGACATCCATGATAAAAAAAACAAAAAACAAAAAACAAAAAAAAAAAACAAGCTTTAGAAATGCCCAGGATCAATGTGCACTATAAATGAGAAATTACAAGGACTGATTCCTACACATTTGCAAACAGTTATAAGCAATTACAGACAGCCTGGGGCCAAGCTTATAATTGGCTATTTTCTACTAAATACACTTAACAAGATGGCTTATCTTTAAGTAAAAGTCTAAATGGGTTGTTGGAAGTAACTTAATGTTACTGAGGCTGAATGACATAATAGAAAATCAAGCCAAATGTATCAGCCAGTCACTGTACATACTGCAGTAAGTGCCTTTTGTACAGATGAATACATATCAGTTCTCAGGAAGAAGAAAGGCCACCTGAATGGTGTATGATTGTGGAATTAAAATGTCATATCTGGTTAGATAATTTTGTCATGTTCCTTAGAGTACAGTTTTAAAGCCAATATCCTTCTTAGATTTCTGTGAAAGGATGTTCTGAGCCATTTTCAGATCTCATGTCAAAGTAGGTTTATTTTTTATATTCATGTAAAGTAAGTTTTAAAAAATATAGGGCAGACTGAATGCTCTAACAATGAGTATATAATAAACACCATCCCACATTTTGGTGATTCCTTGTCATGACAGTTTTGGTTTAAAGTAAATGCAGTTAAGAAGAATCCATATTCACCTTAAGATATTGTGGAGAAGGAAGGAGCTGTGTTATTCAAACTCTGCTTTTACCATAAAGGAGACAGGCTGACCAAAGGCATTTTATGGGATGAGAAGTGTTTATCCTTACAGGTATGCAGTGTGTGGTAGCTCACATTTGCTTCACGACACTTGCATTCCAAATCTATTCATCTTTCCTGTCCAGCCTCAAAAC